GGAGTAAGGAGTAGTGAATCAGTGGAGTAAGGAGTTAGTGAGTCAGTGAGTAAGGAGTAGTGAACCAGTGGAGTAAGGAGTAGTGAATGAGTAGAGTAAGGAATAGTGTCTTAGTTTTCTCTGGGGCTTCTGAAGCATCGATGCCGTTTCCCACCTGCTGGTCGCCTTAAAAAGATTGCTGTGCCACATTCAACAGGACATCTTTTTAAATCACCACATTATAAGAGAGCTGGTAACATTCAGAGGCAAATTTTAGTGACTTACATTTTCTAAAAAACTGGAGCTCTGTGTAGTTTTGGGGTAAAATCTGGTACATAAACAGTCCTCATTCTGAGCCTGTGTCCCCCTCTGTGAAACGTGGAGGGTAACGTCAGTCTTACCAAGTTGCGAAGGCCACCAGTGTCTCACACACAGGTGACATTTGTCCAGTGTCAGTCCGCATCCTCCTCTCTTCCCCCCGATACCGTAAGTCTGAAAAGGACCTTCATGCACTGTGTGCCCACAAACCCAGAAAGAGGATGCGCGCCCACACTGACTGTCACTTCTGCACTCTTATTGCAAGTTTTAGGGACCTTTGACCTCACCCAGTTGACTCACCTGTATTGTTAAACAAAACAATTATTCACGACACTGGTTAAAGCGACTGTCGTGATAGTAGAGGGACTGCTGCCATGGGGCTTTACAATAGTGGGCAGAGGCTCAACTCCAAACCCAAAAAGGAAAAAGTGGGAGTTTATAGGCAAGGAACAGGGTGCGGGAGGTCGGCAGGTGGAAAATCAGCAAGAGGAAACCTCAGGTATAGGGGAATTCTGGCTCAACGGACCCAAGTAGGATTCTTGCTGGCCAGGCGATCACATGTTACCCCAGGGGGATGAAGGAGAATGTGGAATTTGGTCACACACGAGGGTGACCAGATATTGGGGGTGGAGGATTCTGGCTAAATGTACTTAACAAGATTTGTGCTAAAATCGGGTGATGCAGAGAAGGGCATGGAAGTAGCAAAGCCGAGGGAAGAGTATTCAGAGGAGCCTAAGTTTGGCCAAGGAGGGCCTCTCCTCATCAGTATTTTCTGTGAGTAACACTGTGAATGTTACAACTCTGTTAGCTGGGCTAGGTCCTTCTTATCAGAAGGCAGAACAGAGTGTTTCCCTTTGCTGACGTGACGGAGGTGCGGGATGGGGCCAGAGGAGGTGGAGAGGGGTCGAAACCACGCTCGGTGAGGAAAGATGCCTCCACGTTTTGCATTTTTACTCCTGGACTCTTCTTGCAGATTTGTAATGCCTGAGGACGAGCAGTGGTTCAATGCACATATTGTTCGTGCAATTGAAGAAAATATCAACTCGGAGGTGATATCGTATATTCATCCTGAGCCATACTTTGTAGATTTTCTCCGTGAGATGCCTGAACCGACTGGTGATGAACCTGAAGACAGTATATTTGAAGTGCCCAAAATCTATGAACTGGTATTTATTTTCACCTTTAAAGAGAATTTTTTGAGGATCACTCGCTTAACTAGAAATTTCTCCCTATATTGGAGCCTTGCCATGGAGTCACTGTAACTTCTACATGAGTTATCAGTTGTGATTCATGTCATCATACACAAAGTGTAAAATATTTCTTCCAATTAAATTTAGCAGCGACCCCATGAAAGTTAGGTACAAGACAAGGATGCTTGATCTTATCACTATTATTTAATACTAGAGGCCTGGTGCACAGATTTTGTGCATGGGTGGGGTCCCTCGGCCTGGCTGGCAATTGGGCTGATCGGGGTGGTCTGTCCCAGTCCCGATTGGGGTCATTCGAGGCCGGCCGGCCTGGGGGAGGGACCGTGGAGGTTGGCTGGCCGGAGGGAGGGACTGCGGGAGGTTGGTCGGCCCAGGGAGGTTGGCTGTGGGAACACACTGACCGCCAGGGGGCAGCTCCTGTGTTGAGTGTTTGGTTGACCAGTCATAACGGTCACTTAGGCTTTTATATATATAGAATTAGTTTGAAAGTTCTAGGCACTGCAACAAAATGGCAAAAAGAAAATAGCTGTAATGATCAGATGGGAAAAACCCCCCAAAATACCATTTACTTGCAGATGATATGATTATCTCTTCATATAAACCAAGAGAATTTAAAATCTCTTTTAAGTGCTAAGAGTTCAGTAAGATGACCAAGTATGATATAAATATAAAACTGAGGAACTATCCTCTATACCAGAGGTTAGCAAATTATAGTCTATGGGCCACCTCCAGCTGACTGCCTGTGTTTTGTTAGATTTGTGAGCTAAGAATGATTTTTACATTCTTAAGTGGGTAGGAGAAAAGGGAAAGAATAATAGCATTGTGTCACGTGAAAATTATACAGACTTGAAGCACCAGGGTTCATAATACAGCGGTTTTTGGGACACAGCCACGCCCACTTGTTTATAAATGTCTGAGAGCTTTCACAGGACAGGAGCGGAGCTCGGAGTAGCCTCCAGAGACCACACGGGCCCCAAAGCCTACAATAGTCACTATCTTTCCCTTTACAGAAAAAGTTTGCCAACTCTTGCTAAAAATCACACGATAGAAAATGTAGCCTAAAAGTATTTTACTCAACAGCAAAAATATGTAAAATACCTAGGAATAAACATGATAAAACTCTACTTGGTTGAATGACCCATCGGGCTTCCTAAATTAATGCATAGGTTTAATGAAGTTTGAAATAAGACTCCAAAGGGATGCGAAGCAATTCTGGAGTGCATGTGGATCAAGAAATAAATGGGGAGGAACAATTTGCAAAGCAAATACGTGAATATTTATTTCAGAACAATTTGACTACATAAAGAATGTGAAGCCTCTGTATATTTTTTTAAAAATGCATAAACAGTATTAAAAAGCAAATAAAAACTCAGAAAAAATATTTGTTACACTCCAACCTTCATTACCGTGGGTAGGAGTGGATGCTGGGGTTTTTGAAGGCAAAAGTCAGGAATAATTTCATATTGGAAAGTTGGGTTTCAGGCCCCTGAAAATGGAAATAATTAAAAGTCAACTAACCCATGACAAATTTTTAGAAATGCAATAGGTTTTAAAAAAGTTGGAATTACTTTGGAGTGTCTTCATAGTTGATACTTTTATAAATTTTGGACCTTACCTATATTTTCCTCTCTTCCCACCCATAGGTGCCATCCTTTGAATTTCTGTCTGAAAAGCTCCAGTTTTACCAGAGACAGTTCAATGAAATCATTAGAGGAACATCTCTTGATCTGGTCTTTTTTAAAGATGCAATGACTCATCTTATTAAGGTTCTAACTGTGGACTAGTTACTGACATAAACAGAGCATGTGAAAGCTTAGTAAATTGCACAGATAAACCTCTTGAGAGAATAAATATATAGTATCAGGTAGCATATAGAAGAGTGGACTCATGCACTGTCTCCGAAAACAAAGGCTTAATTAGAAACCCCTTATTTGAATCCACCCGTATGACAGCAGATGTTTCTCCAGGGCAAATTGATGGGTTTTGTGTTCAGAGCTTTTGACGCACTGAGTCAGTTTTACCTTCCTAGAAAGTGTGCTGGAGAACCTTGTGAAAAAATATTCCCTCCTTAAATCATATTTTGACATAATGGGAATTCTGTTCCTCGTAGAGGAAAAGTTGATGCTTTTAAAATGTCCATCTCATGACAGGCTTACAGATGAGGGGCCGACAGATGGGGAAAGGGAGAAGGAGGGAAATAGGGCTGATGGAAAAGCAGAATCCAACTAGAGGCAGCATCGAGGAGAAGGGTGGTTTGGGCCAAGTCTGGGAGGCTACAGAGAAGAGTAGTTTATTTGTATAATTTGTAGGTCAAAAAGGAGTTTCTCCAGGAGTCAGAACACAGAGTAGAAAGGTGATAAAGAGGAAGCATGTAACTCTGTTTATCATACAGGGTGGGGCAAAAGTAGGTTACAGTTGTGAGTATGTGAAACAGTTTATTCTTGTGTTATTGTTTATTCATTTGGGCATTATTTTCCATTCGAACAACTGTACAGTTGTTGTCTGCAAAGTTGGTGAATTTCTAGATGTCCTAGGGCTGTTTCTCATTCGACAAGTAATTCTCGAATACCCTTGTGGCTAGTTCCTGGGGGCCTGGGACTGTGTTCTAAGGGCAAAACCTATAAGGGATTAACGTATTTTAAAATATAATGATAGAATTAATACATATCAAAGTGTCATTACTGATCTGACATCTAAAGACTTGCACTTAAAAATTATTTTTAGTGGTGATAATGAATTTAGTGATCCATCTAGACTTTCTTCCTCGCGCTGACATTAAGGTAAAAGGCAGCTTTTCAGCAGTGTCTGCCATTGGCCTGCATTAGATCTGAACCACTTGTTCTCACTGAAGAAATCAACCACAAGAAAAGCAACACAAGACTAGACAGATTCTTTCTCTCATTCTGCTTCTACAAATGCCTTTCTGCCCCCATTGCAAGTAGAATTCTGATACTTTTGAAGAATTTTCTTTGGGAGAGATATGATAGAGGTAGTATTCGTGGGAGAGCTAGCTGTCTAGTAAGTCAGGTGTTAGACTGGTGAGTAATAAGCCAGTGAATCTACACTTTGTGCAGATTGGCAAGTGCAGCTCCACCATCCATTCATTTGAAAAGTAAAAAGAAAAAAAAATCCACACAAACACAGAATAGTTTTGAAATAGGACAGGAAAGATCGTTTGGTCTGTTTTTCATGAGGAAAATATAGATGGGCAGGGAAATAGTTTGAGTCAAATAAATCAGCATGAACTTTAATTTTTGACATTCTGAGATAGATCATAAACAGAAAAGGTTTAATATAATCTGGAAGTATATGGTCAAATCTTGGGCCCATTTAGTGCAAGGATAGGAAAATGGTTGAATTCTATTTTCAAATAAATTCTATTTTATTGCAAAACAGATTTCACGAATAATTCGAACATCATGTGGAAATGCACTGCTGGTGGGTGTTGGTGGGTCAGGAAAACAAAGCCTGTCGAGATTGGCCTCTTTCATAGCCGGGTATCAGATATTCCAGATAACGTTAACCAGGTAAGATAACGTAAAACAGACAACATGTTTTTCTATAGTTAATTTCTCTGGGGTATGAAAAGTGGTATCTAACAGTCACCGTGTCAAAACTCTCAGTGGAGCTCAGCTGGTGTGGCCCAGTGTTGAGTGTCCACCTATGAACCAGGAGGTCAGGGTTCGATTCCAAGTCAGGGCACATCCTGGGTTGCGGGCTTGATCCCCAGTGTTTGGCGTGCAGGAGTTAGCCAATTAATGATTCTTTCTCATCATTGATGTTTCTATCTCTCTCCCTCTCCCTTCCCTCTGAAATCAATAAAAATATTTTTTAAAAAACAAACCTCTCAGTGGAGTGGATGGTGCAGAAGCCACGTCGCTTTAAAGAAGTGAAGAAGCAGAGACAAGTTTAGAAACTCCTCGAGAAGCTTAGCTATGAAAGAAACGAGAGGAGAGGGGTCAGGGCCTAGAGAGGGGTGTGTTGTGAATGTGTCCTTGTATCACAAAAACAATACATAACAGTCCGTTTAATTAAAAAACCCTCTCTCCTTCTCCCTCCCTCTCTCTCTAAAAGATCAATAAAAATCATTAAAACACACACACACACACAGACGCACACAAACAAAAACAGCCAAAGTGGCTCTGAGACCTCAATGCCTGGGCCCTTCAGAGACTGGCCTGTCAGCGAGCGTCTGAGAGCAGCACCTGCACGGCCCCTGCAGGAAGGTGTGGCTGGGCTCTGCCCACAGGTGCAGTGGCGTCTCAGCAAAGCGTCTCTTTAATGAATTCCGTCTCGGGATTTATTTTAAAGGAATGTATGTGCTGTTTGATGGAGTTCCTTTTGCTAATGAAAACAGTTGAATTCTATTTTCAAACACCTTCTATTTCATTTCAAAACAGACGTCTCGGATATTTCAAACATCCTGTGGCAATGCACTGCTGGTGGGTGTTGGTGGGTCAGGAAAGCAAAGCCTGTTGAGATTGGCCTCTTGCATAGCCCGGTCACAAAGCCTTTTTACCCTCAGCGGAGGGTAGCTAGCTGATGCTCCCAGCGTAAAAACCAGCTCCTCGTTCATTCGGTGGTCGGCAAACTGCGGCTCGGCAAACCGCGGCTCGCAGGCCACACATGGCTCTTTGGCCCTTTGAGTGTGGCTCTTCCACAAAATACTGGCTCTTCCACAAAATACCGACTTCTGCGCATGGGCCACGAAGTTTCAATCGCACTGTACGTGCGTGCCCGCACTTGGTATTTTGTGGAAGAGCCACACTCAAGGGGCCAAAGAGCCGCATGTGGCTCGCGAGCCACGGTTTGCCGACCACGGATAGGTTCACTCAAGCTACATCATCTCTAATGCCCACAGCAACCTTTACAAATAGGTGTTCCCTTCGTTTTTCAGATGAGGAAACGGGTCTGAGGAATGTGAAGGAACGTTCCTAAAGCTGCAGAAAGGGGATTTGAACCCAGGCCCTTCTGGTTCCGAGGTCCATAGTCTCCCCAGTACACCCCGTGGCTTCCATGAAACCCCCTGTTCCTTGCACTGCAAAACCTCCTTCAAGTGGGGTTTCTTCATGGTCTTTGTCCTCCGCTTACTCATGAAGATTCACACGCACACTCGAGAAAGTGTCTGCTTCATTTTTACACTCACACCAGCTCGGCAGCACACACGTTCAGTAGGAAACAGAAAAACAGAGACCAAGGTCTTCTTTTCGTAATCCGTAACCACACAATGATGGCATTTCTGTTATTTATACCACACTGCACAATGCATCTTTTCTGTAGGCTTTCTCTGCATCTAGCCACTCAGAGAGATGCACAAATTACCACTATATATCACTAATCACTGATTTTATTTATAATTTGTGTTTACTTTTTTATCAGTCCAAACTCATCCAAGTTTCAAATTTGTTTTAGATGCTATACATATTCGCCCTTTGGGCAAAATCTGTGGCTGAGGACTGTCCGATTGCAGGGAATGAAAGTTCATTTCCCTGTCCCAGTTATTCTTCGTGAGCCACTGATGGTCAGTTCCCCAGTCCTCACTTCTCAGGTTAAATAGAACATGTGTTTGGAACCGTAACATACAGCTGTTTTATGCTAATCTCTGGTTTTAAGAATATATATTTTTATTTATTTTTAGAGAGAGAGGAAGGAAGAGGGAGATAGAAACTTCAATGAAAGAGAATCATTGATCAGCTGCCTCCTGTACGCCCCCTACTGGGATCCAGCCCGCAACCAGGCATGTGCCCTGACCGGGAATTTAACTGTGACCTCCTGGTTCATAGGTTGACCCTCAACCGCTGACCCATGGCGGCCAGGCTAATCTCTGTGTTTTTACAGACATTGTTACTTAATATCTCTTGCAGCAGGTGCAGATTTATGCTCTAATCATCATGGGCTTTATTGAATTTTGAGATAAATTAAGACTATATATATGTTGTAATTTAAAATTTTTTTTTTTTACCACTTCTGTTTTTAGGTCTTATAATGTGACTAACCTAACAGAAGACTTAAAAGTTTTGTACAAAGTTGCGGGGGCTGAAGGAAAAGGCATCACCTTCATCTTTACTGACAATGAAATAAAAGATGAGGCTTTTCTAGAATATCTTAACAACCTGCTATCTTCAGGGGAGGTAGGTCTCAAAAGTGGAGAAAAAAAACCCTCATGTTTTTTTAAATGTACATTCTATTTGAGTAGAAACAGCAGTGACCCTTCAACAACCTTTAGCAAGTGAGGCCAATGGTTACACACGTTTCACTTCAGAAGTGATTAACACATGAGATTTGGCCAGTTTTTTGAAGTTCCTGTGAAATTAATGCTGCCTGTCTCCAGCTTGTTTTGTACGCTTTGTTCCATTTTAAATACGATTGCTTATTTGTCTCTTTAGTCTCCAATTTGATCCTATGATTTATTTCAGGAGTAGCAAAGTACCTATCTATCCACCCCCCCACCCACCCCCCTCCCTAACGGGACTAGAGAAGGGTTGGGAGGGTTCCGTGAGCTGTAAGTAGATGTCAGAGTTACCACTTCTGACCCCACTGTATCAGCGCCGTCACGACCCCTCCCACGCGTGGTACTTCATTAGAAGGACTTAGGCGTAACATTTATGAAAGCAACACAGTAGGGAGTCACGGCCAGATGAGCAAAGACAAAGACACATTGGGTGGATCTGGAGAAATCCACGTGCAGGCTGCCTCTGTTCCCGCCAGAGGGCCATTGGGGGGTGCTGCTCCCGCAGCAGCGAAGAGCCACCCACATGCACTGCCCTTCAGGGAGCCTGCCTGGGGCTCAGAGGCCAATGCCGTCACTGGCGCTGGCCATGTGGTCACTCCCTACCCAGCCACGGCTGCCCAAATCGCAGACTCCCAGGAGGAACGCAGATGTTCACCATCTCTCCCAGTGTTTGCATAAACAGTCTGGGCGCAGTGGAACAACCTATCAGTGAGCAATGGGGGAGACATTCCAAAGCCAGGGTCCCAGATACCAGCCCTGCGCGCACACCCTTCCTAACGTCAGGCCGCGGTGTTCACGCTTCCCAGCCCTCTGGTGTTGGTGGATGCTTGTTGGCCATGAGCTAGCTAACCAGCGTGGGGCCAGAACTGAGCCTGACAGTGACTCAGAGGACAGAGGGCAGCACTGGACGTGTTAAAGGAATGATCACCATGGCGGAGAGACCGCGTTTTAGTGATAGCTATTTCGACAAGGGGAAAGAAACATAATTTGCTCCTGGTTAAACAGCCCAGTCTGCTCAATAAATGGTTGCAATCTTGATAATCTCTGGCAAACCAGCAGTTTAACTGTGGAGATGCAGAAAGAAAATAGGAAGAAAAGACGACATGAAGGGGGAGAGGGGAGGGGAAGAGGACCAGACTCTGGCAGTGAACTGGCTGTGGGAACTCTGAAAGCACAGAACACTGTCTGTCCATTCCTCGAAGATCTCCAACTTGTTTGCACGGGATGAGATAGACGAGATCACCCAGGGTCTGATCGCGGTGATGAAAAGGGAGCTGCCCCGCCACCCTCCCACCTTCGACAACCTGTACGAGTACTTCATCTCGAGGTCCAGGAGGAACTTGCATGTGGTGCTCTGCTTCTCTCCAGTGAGTGCTTATTCTACCATGTCCGTGTGGGAGGAGCTACTGATCTAAATGTAGTCAGGTAGTTTGTCTACCTTCTCTGATGAGATGATTGGCTCAGAATCTAACAGAGGACTAGAGAAGGGTTGGGAGGGTTCCGTGAGCTCTAAGTAGATGTCAGAGTTACCACTACTGACACCCCACAGGCTGAGAACCACTGAATTAAGGTATTACATATGTGTCCTTATCCCCCCTTTGCCCCCCACCCCACCCCACTCCCGTTCATGCCCTCACCGCCCTGGTTGGACACTTTATCTATTAATGCAGCCCAAGAGTTTTAAAAAATTGTGATGTCACACCGTTGACTCAGCATGCACACACAACTCTCTCTAGCCAAGTTATAATCCGCTTGTGTCTCTAATGCTTCCTGACTTTGCTGTGATAGGTTGGCGAGAAGTTCCGCGCCCGGTCTTTGAAATTTCCTGGCTTGATATCAGGTTGCACTATGGACTGGTTCAGTCGCTGGCCCAGGGAGGCGCTGGTCGCCGTGGCCTCCTACTTCCTTTCAGGCTATAATATCGTCTGCTCTGCTGACACCAAAAGACAAGTTGTGGAAACGATGGGCCTCTTCCATGACATGGTTTCAGAGAACTGTGAAAGTTATTTCCAAAGGTAGGTGACGTGGCATACGCACGAGAGCTGCAGGACCACTAAGTTCCCTCCTAGGAGGAATCGCCTGGAACATCCAGGAAAGGGCTCGTGCGGACTGAGCTCAGGGTCCCAGCAGCACTTACATTTTTTCTTGCTTTGATTTTCCAGTGGTTATGGATTGAAAGGGTAGTAAAAAAACGAGATTTAAAAATTAACTAGTGTCCATATTTAAGTACCTCCTTCCTTCTAGGCCTCAAAGTAACACATGCTTAATGAATCACTTTATTTTGTGTACTTAATTTTTTTCCCCCAAAATGACTTAACTATTCATCACAAACCATTTAAAATTAGTTTCTTGTTCAAGTGCATTATTTATTGTGATTAAAGAAGTGCGCTGTTTTAAAGCTTCATCGCTGCCTTCTGTTACAAGAACACTTAGGTTTTGTATTTGCATCACTTAGTCTGATCAAGTGATGCCTGTTTCATCATGTTTTTAGGCCAAATAATTGTGAAACAAAATTGTAATTGACTGTAGGAGAAGCGACTCATATGTGAAAGCTGGTGTCAACAGTTTAGAAGTTCACCTCCCCTCCCCCCAGCATGATCGTCTCTGTGTTCCACTGACAGATGTGAATGTCGCTGGGCCGGCCTGCATTTCTGGAGCAGTGGGCTTCTCCCTCAGGGTTAGCGGGTGGGCCACAGGGGTGCTGGACCCGCCAGAAAGACCATGTCTGTTCTTCTGCAGAGGGACCCTCTGGGTTCCATCTCACTGATTTTCCAGGGGGTCCCTATCTCGCAAAGGGTATGAGAAACCCTACCTAGACCACCCCTCCTGAACTGTTAGTTGTAGATGATCTTCTGGTGAGTTCATGCGCACTCATTTTTACTGTGAGGACGATTTTCTTTCTACCTCATTTGAACTCCTCCTGCTACTGTTACCTGTAGAGAGACATCCTCACCTTCATAGAGCTACAGAAACCCATGTCTATTTTTGAAAAACTTGGTGTATTTTTCATATCCTCTCCGGCGGTAGAAGTTTATTCTGAATGTAATATTTTCATAACACTTTAATGATAGTCATCTATATGCCAAGTTCTTGAAATATTTTTAATGTTAAAAATCTTCTGAAAGCCAAAAGTACAAAATTAATCTAAAAGGTAAAATGATTTTATGTATGTGTGGAGTTCTCTGACTTGAGTTTCTGCCGTATAAAATTATTATTTTTATTTATTTCTATTGTTAAATATAATCACTATGCTAAGCCCATAAGGAGGTGAGTGTTGAATCAAGCGTGGCTGCTTTGATTTTAAGGGCAGCCCAAGGAGTGCAGGGAGCAGCTGGGGGGCCCCCGGAGGCGACCACCAGCTGCTGCCTGGCTGTGAAGAGGTGTGTAGCCAATATCAGTCGAGAAGAAGACACTTCAACCACCTCACTTATCCCTGATATCTGCACAGAATCTTAAAGTTTGCAAAGCGCATTTGCTATTTATATATTTTTTTTATCTTCACAAAATTCTGGCAGGTGTAGAGCAGTGATTTTTTTTCCCCCAGACGAGGAAACAACCCCAAAAAAGTCAAGATAGATATTTAACGATCTCACCATCTCATCTCCAGGGAAACCACTCACAATCCCTGCCTCCCTACCAGTGACTCACTCTTGTGGGAAGAGCAGGGGCTCCGACCTGTGTGGCAGGCCACGGGACGCAGCGACGAAGCTCACTCTGTTTCCCTTTCAGGTACCGCCGGAGAGCGCACGTGACTCCCAAATCTTACCTCTCGTTTATAAACGGTTATAAAAACATTTACACGGAAAAGGTGAAATTTATCAATGAGCAGGCTGAACGGATGAACATTGGTAAGCAGCATGGGATTTGTACGGGCTTGTTTGATAGGGACCCCAATATCGTGTTTGGTGGCTGCTGTTGTGATTGAAAAGGAAGGACGGACTTTATTGTTAGTAACGGAGTATTTGAGGAAAGGCGCTTCAGGCTGCTTTGACCTGTCCAGAAACTCTGGGCGGAAGAAAGTCCAAGCAGGTGGCCTGTTTTTCTCTAGACCATTTCTCTCCGCCCCCCCCCCCCTTCAACTCTGGGACCACTGGTTGGGCAGCGAGTGACCACGGTCATTTGGGGAATAGCCAGCTCTTGGGAACTGACCACAATTTCAATTTCTGGTTTCATTGCAATGTCCCTCAATTTGTATAAACTTTGTGAAGTTAATGCTTCTCAAATTTCTAACAAAGGAAAAGGCAAAACACAAATAAACAAAAACAAAAAGAGAGAGTTTACTTGAGTGATGGTTTTCTGAGTGTTCAGTATATATAAGTAGAAAAAATAGAAATCGGAATCAATTATAGGTCCAGAAAGCATCTGACCCACACACTCCAAAATACGTTAGTGCTGTCCTTTTATTTCTCCTACACGAAACCGGGTCAGGGAGCGTAACTGAGCTCAAGGGCGGGAAGTTAAGGGGTGCTGGGAGCAGCGGGAGAAAGCTCCTCGCTGTCCTCTCGCTCACCTTCCCGCAGCGGCTCTGCGTGATGCTCAGGACCAGCTCTGTGCTGACCCCATGCGCTGGCTCACTGGAGCCGGGGTTAGTTAGGAATTGTCTGATCTGGTTGTTAAACACAGCCTTTATTAAAATTAAATTACATAAACTTACAATTAAATAAAGTATATTAAAAGCGAAGGCAAAAGCTACTCAAAACATATCACTTCTGAGTTGTTTTTACTCTGTTTTGCTATTATTATTGTTCTTGAGGTTATGTCCATTCTACCTTCCTGGTAGAAATATCTGTGTGCCACTGAGAATCTCTCGGTAGCTTGAAAATCAGCCACGTGGGAGTATTTACACCATGGATACCGGAAACATACAAATGAGTTCTTCCCCTCCCCCGTCAAGAGACCAGATGCTAAACATTCACTAAACACCTCTGCGTAGAACCCAGTTGGGATGTGAGAAAGCTGGTTGGTTGCTGTCCTCTCCAGTGTGTTGGAAGCCACAGAGCCAGGTGCACGGGTTTTAGCGGTTATTTTTGTTTTTATAGTGAAGAGGACAACAAAAATGTTACTAAATTATGCGTCTCATTTGCCATCTCAGAGGCAATAGGATTCAAAGGCAACAAATGACAGCCACAAATTGCTTGCAAAGCCCAGGGGAGCGTAGGTTTGTCAAGCACGTTTCTCAAGCAAGTCCAATGGCTGACGTTCTCGGTGCGGCCCTGTGACTTCCCTTCAGTGTGGCCAGATGATGTTCTCCCACCAGAGCGATTTTCTTCACCCCCTGCTGAAGCTCTCAGAAATATGGTCAGGGTTGTTGCTCCTAAGATGGGTGCATTTTTAAAGCATCTGTCCATAATTAATTACCTGTGTTTGTTATAGTACTTATATGGTGCCTTATGAGTAGTAAATGTTGAATAAATATTTGATGGAGGGGGATTCATAGACTCAGCGAGCATGTACATATGTGTGTTTGTAAAGGTCTTGACAAGCTCATGGAGGCAAGCGAATCGGTTGCGAAGCTCTCGCAGGACCTCGCAGTGAAGGAGAAGGAATTGGAAGTGGCGTCTGTGAAAGCAGATGAGGTGAGTTTGCATTTGTTTTATCCCGAGCGGTGAGGAACATTTTTCCAAACTAGAGAAAAAGCATTTAGAAGCTTACAGGGTATAGACTTAGACTATTTCTGGTAAGATAATGTTCCCAACGACCATTAGACATTTTGTTTAACTCATACCAAGGCATACCTAAGCTAGTCTAGCCCACCAGGTCTAAGGCTGTTCTTTCTTCTCTGGCTCTGTCTCTCTTGTTCTCCCTCATCTGTTTATGACATTTCTGCTTGACTGCACACTCTAGGTTTCTAGGATGCCCCAAGTCTCATCTGAAGCTCGTGTCAAGCAGGGGAAAAATAAGAGGAGGAGCTGGTGAAGTTAAAAAAAAAGGATACTCCTCCCAGGGGGTAGGGACATGGTGCTGCTCCTTTATCTACCGCCCCCCACCCCCCCAGGCTGTGTCCACTTCCACTCCCTCAGGGCCAGGTAGGAATTGATACTTAAATCTTGACCTTTATCCAGTTGCTGAAAGGAGAGCGTCAAGAGAGGCCCTTAGCAAAGTTCTGGAATATGGTAGGCACTTAGCAAAATATGAGCTATTTTGATTGTTATTTACATGAAGCTTAATATGATTTCTGATCTTACTCCATTACACTTACTTATATTGTTTTAATTTTTAGAAATTACATACAGTAGAAATACCATTTTTCTGAAAGGTTAAATATCTATCTATCTATCTATCTATCTATCTATCTATAAGCCTAAACGACTGTTATGATAGAATGACCGGAACAACCTGAACAACCACAACTGTTGGCTATGACATCCACTGACCACCAGGGGATAGATGCTCAATGCAGGAGCTGCCCCTGGTGGTCAGTGCGCTCCCACAGTGGGAACGCAACTCAGCTAGAAGCTGGGCTCACAGCTGGTGAGCACAGCAGGGGTGGCAGGAGCCTCTCCCACCTCTGCAGCAGTGCTAAGGAGCAGCGAGACCATGGTGAGAGCACCGAGCACAGAGCCGGGCGGTGCCCGGCCTGGTTCGGGCTCCTCCCCGGCTTCCTGCCACTTCACTCACTGCTACAACCTCGGGGATGTCTGACTGCCGGTTTAGGCCCGATCCCCGCAGGCCAGGCTGAGGGACCCCTTCCCTCCCACCCCCCTGCACAAATCTGTGCACAGGGCCTCTAGTTTATTTATATATTCTAAGCCTGAAGAAAGCTTAGGAAATAACAGACTGCAAGGACTGCTTAAGGTGTACTTTAATACATCTTAAAATATAGAGGACTCAGCCCTGGCCCAGTGGCTCAGTTGGTTGGAGTGTCGTTCCATGCACCAAACGGGTTGCAGGTTTAATTCCCAGTCAGGGCACATACCTAGGTTGTGGGTTCGATCCCTGGTCGGAGTGCATAAGAAAGACAATGGATCCATATTTCTCTCTCACATTAATTTCTCTCTCTCCCGTCCTCTCTCTCTAAAAACCAATAAAAGCATCTTTAGGTGAGGACTAAAATAAGCATATATATCTTAGATGGGGAATAAACTTGCTCTTATTCATGTTTTACATTTTAGTGGATGAATATTCTCTCAGTACTCAAATCTGTAAATGCTGCTCTGAGGTTTCTGTTTGTTCTCGTGTGTTTCCTCAATTTAACAGGTGTTAGCAGAAGTCACAGTAAGTGCTCAGGCTTCAGCCAAGGTGAAAAACGAGGTGCAGGAGGTGAAAGACAAAGCCCAAAAAATTGTGGATGAAATTGACAGTGAAAAAGTAAAAGCTGAGAGCAAACTCGAGGCCGCGAAGCCTGCCCTGGAGGAGGCAGAAGCAGCCCTGAATGTGAGTAGCGCGTTGCTGTCCCTCCCCCCACACACAAGTCCTTGTAGCACTGCGTTCCACGGCATGAAATAACTAGAAGTTTTGTGATCACGAAACTGAGTCTGGAAACAAACCTTTCCACGGATCAAGTTTTCCAAGTTCTAATTTTTTTTAAGTCTTTACATCCTGTAACTTACTCTTTGCATCCTGTAAACTGACTTTCCATGAGAACTGGGAACCGTACTGGCGATTAATGCCTAAGCCAGTGATGGTGAACCTTTTGAGCTTGGCGTGTCAGCATTTTGAAAAACCCTAACTTAACTCTGGTGCCGTGTCACATATAGAAATTTTTTGATATTTGCAACCATAGTAAAACAAAGACTTATATTTTTGATATTTATTTTATATATTTAAATGCCATTTAACAAAGAAAAATCAACCAAAAAAATGAGTTCGCGTGTCATAGGTTCACCATCACTGGCCTAAGCCATGCACAAGGAATTCAGATCACTTAGAACCCTGTTCAGATTGTCATGAGCCCCTTTGAAATCCCCATGTGGTTCCCGTTGCTCTCAGGATAAGTCCCCAGCCAGGCGTCCAGGGCTCTGAGGGCACAGCTTCGGAGGCCACCACTTCTTAAGTAAATTGACTTACCTTCCGTGAGTCTCCATGGGGATTGTAATTCCTCACTGATCCTTGGAGGATCAGTGTAAACGTTAATGGTCATGAGTGCCGTTTGCTGGGCACGTGGAAAATACTCGATGAATATTAGTGCTGCTGCTGCTGCGGCTAAGCTGGCTTCTATCTACTCCTTGAACTCTCGTTGTCTGTCCCCACACAACATGACCAGACACACAGAAAAAGCTCTAGGCCTTTGGAAAATCATGGTGTTTAAATGAGTCTCTCCCTCTGCCAGGAATGCTTCACCTAACCTTCAAGACCAGGCTCAGACCTCACCACGTCCAGAAAATGTTGGTCTCCCTGCTCTCCTTTATTTGTCCATCACCCCTGAGCTTCTGTTGTGACATATAATCCTAGTTTAGGGTAACTGTGTTTTCTCTCTCTGTCTTGGAAAAATATGAGGACAGGGCTATTTTTGTTTGTTTGTTTTCTATGGGAGAATGGCTGTAGTTGTTATATGAATGAATAGATTTATGATAATCGTTTAATAAAATTGTGACAGTGACCAGGGCACATTCTTCATCCCCACTCCCTTTATGGATTCCATGATGAGAGAGAGAGAGAGAGAGAGAGAGAGAGAGAGAGAGAGAGAGAGAGAGATCACTGAATCAAATGGGTCTTAGGAGATTTTCTTGATTTATGGGATGTCCCAATCCTTCTTGCTTTGAATGTCTGGTAATGACTTATTCGAAACCCAGCTCACATACAGAAATTGTCAAAAAACATTTTTAGGAGGCAGGTGTTATAATAACTTCTCTTGTCTCCTTTGAATTCCTCCCCCTTCCATGGGTAGGGCAGCCCTCAAAGTGCAGGCCAGAGGTGAGGCTTCTGCTACTCTGGCCTTGCTCCTCTTTGTTATCCACACATAAGATAGTCTCTGTAGGGGGGGGAGGTGGTTGCTTGGAGGGCAATGAATGGTAGTGATATTCCAAGGAACTAGTTGAGGGCAATAGAGGGGAAAAAAACAACACTAAAATAAACAAATCCTAGAACCACAGTGAAAGAACTATTAGGAAAAAATCTTGGAATGCAAATGGTTAAGGCGATAATGTCAGGGTTTGGGGAGAAAATGCATTTTAAAGTTCTCTGCTTTTGTTATTTAAAAGTATTAGATTGCCACATGACTATGAACACTGCTCAACAACAACAGAAATATTGATTCCTCACCCCCAATACAGACTATCAAACCAAACGATATTGCCACGGTCCGGAAACTTGCAAAGCCCCCGCATCTTATTATGAGAATCATGGACTGCGTCCTGTTACTCTTTCAAAAGAAAATTGATCCTGTTACTATGGATCCAGAAAAACCTTGCTGCAAGCCGTCATGGGGAGAGTCGCTGAAAGTAAGTGAAATCTATTTTATAGGCCCCGTGCGGCGCTCGGGTGTCCTCAGCCTGGGCACTCGATACAGGCCACACAGGCTGGCCGGTGAAAGTCGACCGCTGTGTATCGAGCAGTGTCTCTTACTCTGCATCTCCCAGAATGTAAGCAGGGAAAGAGGTTTAGGCTGAACGCTTGCTTTCTGCACAGTCTGTCCAGAACCAGTGGCCAGTATTGGCAGACCCGATGTCAACCTATTTAAATGCACTCCCTGGACAGGAAGCTGGGGGTGTTACAGGTGACTGGAGAAAAACCAAGCCATGCTTAGAGAAAGGGAGTGACATTTTAATGATAAATTCTGCGCAGGCCCAGGGAAAAATGTGTCTTTCAAATTCTGGGCCCCCCAACATGGAGGAAACTCTCTCTATTTATACTTTTTCCAGTCCTTTGTCTCCCAAACTTGGAAGGAGACTTCCGGGCCTTCTGAGAAAGAAGGCCTGCGTGCTGAGAAAGGGCCATGCGACCATATCCCAAGGCCTGGCCTGGCGCCAGCACAGACAACTCTGTCTGGGGCGTAGTTTACGGCCTCTCTGGAATGGGAGTCGTCTTATTTTCCTTATTATTTTAAGCAAGCAAGTGTTTACAGAAGCCAAAATAGCAGGGTGAACATTTCAAACAGCAGTTTTTATCTAAGATGGATGCTTCAGGGGAACTTTGATCTTTAGAAATGAGAGGACAGTTTGCAGTTCACAGATTTAGGCTGGCCCCTGTCCTAGTCTTGGTTTGTATGGTGCAGCCAATCCGCTGTTACTCTGGAGCAGCCTGGCTGGGGAGCGGGCAGGTACCTCCTTGCAGACCTGCGGTGCTGGTGTTTTGCAGCTGATGAGCGCCACGGGGTTCCTGTGGAGCCTGCAGCAGTTCCCCAAGGACACCATCAACGAAGAGACGGTGGAGTTGCTGCAGCCGTATTTTAATATGGATGATTACACTTTTGAAAGTGCCAAAAAAGTCTGTGGGAATGTGGCCGGTCTGCTGTCCTGGACACTCGCTATGGCAATATTTTATGGCATCAACAGGGAGGTGCTGCCCCTGAAGGTACGTTTCCTTCCTTCTCCCAGTAACTCGGTGCTCAGTGACACCAGGCCTTCGTGTTACTGCTGTTAACAGGCAAGGCATCATTCTGACGAGTCAAGGTAGATGTCCCGGTGGCCAACGTTTTCCTCTTTTTCTGTTTGCCCGCTCACCGTCTCACCGTCTCGCGCCGTTTTTACATCTGTTACATGTTTTAGGCATCTCAGGCAAGACACTGGAACCAGCTTGTTAACTTGGACAGGGAAGGAGTTTACTGGGAATAATAACCAAGCTGTCATGCTAGCAGAAGAGCACTTGCCATTTCTTTGAAGTTTGGGGATAAGGTTTGGAGACTGATTTTGGTTGCTATATTCCAAACAAAATTTATAAAAATTTGTATCTCCGCCTAGAAATGTTTTACATTTCAAAGACAGAAAGGGACACTCTTATGCATCTAAGACACAATAAAACAAAATTTAAAAGAATGATTACAAAAGAAGAGAATTCAGGGTGCCGCAGACTTCCCACCAGCCTAACACTAGGACAGAATGAAAAACTCACGTAGAGTAGTGAGGAGGACATTGCCCTGCTCCGAGGATTCAGTATCTGGCCAAGCTGCCCTCCGTGTCTGAGGAAACAAAAAGACCTTCTCAAGGATGTAATTTAAGTATTGAGGGTAAATAGCACACACACACGCACACACACACACACACACACACACACATCTATGCTGGGCCAGGCTGTCCTTCATATCTGAGGGAACAGAAGGACTTTCTCAGGAGTGCAAAGGAGACATAAAATAATTCACCCAGACAAACACAGCCCCGCTGCCCACCCCAGCCCCGTGCAGGTGAAAGAGTTGAAAGTGGTTGCTCTGTGGAATAGGAACTGGTGAGGAGGTGGGCAGGTTGCTGGTTTTCATAGTAAGCTTTATAGAAGGGATTGCCTCTTTAAACTCTATGCTTCATGACAAATAGAAAATAAATGAAAAATAAAGTTTTAACAAAGGGAAATGATGCGACTATAGAACAAACACACCCAAACAAAAAGGTACCAAGAGAGAAATGTTACATAAATTTCAGAATTCAAGAAAAAAAAAGACTTAAAAGAGCTGTTATTTTTTAGTGATCAAAATTTTTATTCCTAACAATTAAGTCTACAGTGAGACTTAATTGTAATAATCTAATCTAATAAAAGAGAAACATGCAAATTGACCGCACCTCCACTACACCCCCAAGCCATGCCCACTGGCCAATCAGAGCGACTATATGCACATTAACCCAACCAAGATGGTGGCTGGCAGCCATGGAGCTGGAGCAAGCAGGAGGCTTGGTTGCCCTGGCAATGGAGGAAGCCAAGCTTCCCATCTGCCTTGGTCAGCTGTGGCCTCCGCTCAAGGCAACAAAGTTTCAATTATAGAAGATAAATAAATCTCAGATACCTCTTCCAGCCAGCCTCTACTGGGAGCTTGGGTGGCTGGGGCCGTGGCCAGCCTGCAAACAGCCATCAGCCCCTCACCCAAGCTGCCAGGCCCCAGCGGGACCCC